ACGCAGCATGCCCCTTTAAAAAAACTGTAGTCGAACATCCAAATATTAGATTCATTATAAAACGCAATGACTACTATTCGGAAAACTTCTAACCCGAGTAAGAGGAGTGAGAAAAGAAAGGAAAAATTCTTTGTGCTTATTGCCAGATCATTTGGTTATATGAACAGGTGCCAAAAAAACAATACAAATTTATTATAGGCATATCATAATAATCATAACGTCTTTGTTTTTAAAGAATTAGGATAAGATATTTAAACCTAAATTCTCAATAGAGGCAACCCACAGCTTCTGTCTGATTTGTAGATGACAAGCATTGAAAGACATTAGTCTCAAAATATCAGCAGAAAAAACTGGAACCAAACTGAAAGCTAGAAAACACGCACCAGAAAACTAAATGAATACTGCAAAAAAGATAACATATGTACATGCAACAAAAGAATAAAATTAACAGTTTGATATCATAGAGCCTGAGGCTAGCAGAAAAAGGAAGTAATTAAGAAGTAATTCACCATTCTTATCAAAGATAATTAAGCAGTGAACTCTGAATCCAATAGGAAATCTCCATACATACATGTCAACCTTCAACAACACAATAGCAAACAACGCAAAAGACTGAGCATCTCAGTGTTACAGAGTCAGTATATGACCTATGCCATAAAAACTCTTGTAAAGGCGTCAAGTGCAACTGGGGGTCATTTGGTTGAATTCCCAAAAATGGGAAAGATAAAATTCCAAGTGTGATCCAATTTGACCATGCTAGATTTTCCAGCCCATTTCTGAGCTAAAAGTCAGAAATGCGTTTTCTCCATTTCATACACTTTTTTGTCAGCTTTCGCAAAGAAATTTTCTCTTTTTTTTATGCCAACCAAAAAACAAGAACGGAAATATGAGTTTCTTGGGCTGACTTGGAATTTCTTGGAAACTCCTTTTCTGTGTTTCCCCGTAAACCAAACAGTAACGTTAAATTCACGTAAGGTCATCAGAAAAATTAGTGGCGAGATCCCAATAGTGTGGAACTCCATCATCCCCAAAAACTTTCCTCGCAGCAGCTTCACTTCTGCACTGGTGAACAAGAAACCTGTGAAAGCTAGATCTCGCAACACTACCCTTGAGCGTTCGACTTTAGTTTAAATCGTGTCTGAGGATGGGAGAGGTCATTAATCTTGTAAACAGACACAAGGGCCTGCATTGAGTTTTTCACCACGCTAAAAAATCATAATTGCACAGGAGGTTGACACCTGAATGAAGAATCACGGGCTCAAGTAAACAGAAAAGGACCCATCGATCCCAACCTTAAAAGACAATGCGAAGCGTTATTGGAAATATTGGGAAAGCGTTATAACTTGGAGATAGTATGAAATCCTGGTGCACCATCGAAGGACATTATGGGGAAATTCTTCGCAAGATGACATAGAAGCCAACATAGAAGCCGTCAACCTTGAACTTCTCTGTATACGCAACCAACTTATAGCCTTTACAAATAGGCTCGACTAGCATACCAGCAAAGGGATATATTTCTGTAGAGAGTCTTGTTAAATAACTTTTGCAAGCTCAAATATCAAATAATATTGTTCCTAGGTAGAATTTCTGCACTTGGATTCTTGATTGATGCACGCATCAGAAATGTGCCGATCAGCTTCCCGTTGTTACGAACAGATTGAACAAAGCAAAGAAGAGGAGAGGGTTTCTTTCCCCCCTCTCTTTCTTTGAGGGGTCAAACGCTCGCCGGCTGAAGAAGGCGGGCACGGGCACATTCACAAATAAACACCATTCGGAAAAGAAAGACTCGTGATCCTTATCACAAAGGTCCAAATTTTCATCTAGTGCGAAATGATGCACAGCGACACAAAACCAAAAAGTCTAAGCCTTTCGACACGCACGACTGAAAAAAAATGTCGAAAATAGAGATCATTTAATCACAAAACCGCATTTTACAAAACCCCAATCCACCACGTACATTTTTGACATTTATGAAAAGAGACATAAAATCAATGATACATCAACTTGGAAACCTTTCTAATATCTCCCTCCCTCAATGCTCATACTCATCTCACATCCCTATCTAAACATAATTCACGACATAATTATGACCGCTATCATTCAAAATTGAAATTAGGGGAAAGGGGGGAAAAGGGTGCAAGAGGTATATTCACCTACTCTCATGAAATAGACATTACAAACATGTTACCCTAAGCATCGATTCCAGCCATCCTTTATGTCATTATCCTGCTCCAACATGTTAAATCACAGCAATCTATATGAACTTCTGTATCAGAAGGCAACACAGCCGCTATAGCTCAGCTTTAAGGTCTTCTTGCATCTCATTTGCTACAACTGATGGTATATCCGCTGCCTCTCTGTACCAAAACAGGAAAACGAGATGTTCAGATGCAATCCTATACGGGTAAAGTTTACAAAACCACAGTGAACTATTAGGGTTTTGCGTGAGATTAGCATAAAGTATTTTATCAGAGTTTGAGGCCCCATTTTTCCTCTCAAAGAGAAAAAGTATTTTATCAGATCAAAATGCCATAAACTTTGAAAATAAGCAGAACCCCCCTAATAACAGTTAAAACGTCTAAAACGCTAATATTTAACCTCCTAACTTAATTTATCTTATTGCAAAAGTCTAAATAAGGGCAAAAAAAGGACATATATTTACTTATTTAGTGAAAAAAGATTGTCGTCGTCTTAGAAAAAAAAGTTTTGGGCAGTTTCCTCCAAATCCCCAAATATTTCATGGTGCTTTTGTGAATTTATGTATCTAACTACAAAACTTTCCAACTAAACAATTATCTCATTGCAAAAGTCTAAATAAGAATATCTTAAAAGATCTCATGTCTGTGTCACGTATAACTTTTAAGATGGTTTAGTGAAAAAGTTTGTGATAGTTTTTTCTCATAAAAGCAGTTTGTGGTACCCCCTAAAAAATAATCTATGGCGTTTTGTGAAGTTCGTCCGTTCTACATTATAGAAGAGCTCTGTGAAAGATTATTTCAACACATATCCACACATTTCAGTAGGGGCCGCTGCAGAATCGTCATCATTCGAGTTATTAAGAAGCATTTTCCCATCACCTACCACCACCGCTTGGTTGATGCCTTCACCCTGTGCAAACAGCAACAGCGATAATCAACAGGCATTAGATGGAACCAAACGTAGGTTACGGTCAGACTTAAAATAGAAAGAGATATACATGCTCATCAGGATGGGCAGGATCTGATGTGCTGCATTTAGGGACCTTAGAGGGACATCTTAGAGTACCCTACAGATTCCAATACAAAAATAGAATTAACATCATAACCTCATAGTTGTAAATATTTGCCTGGAAACAGATAATAAAGATGATGCAGAGTATCACAAAACTAGATTAACAAGATCCTTTTTCCAATAAACACTTTCCCTTAACTTGATCAACTTTCATTGGTTCTAGACGCAGCATGAAGAAGGAGAGCATATGTACTAAAGATACTAGAACATCCATGCGCAAGCATGATATCTCAGGTTCTACAAAGGTAAGTAGAGCACAAAAGCAATTGGATTATTTAGAAAATCAGGACCCATGTAGGAGAAGTGCTACTCGGTATTATTTGCATAAGCAGGATGACAATCTAATACACGTGTAGTGACTGCAGTGGAGAGACAAAAAAGACAGAATTCAATGTTATATTTGAGGTTGGTCACTTAATTGCTTAAACCCAAGTTCTCTTAGGAAACGTCTCACGCCATATGTACTGAAATTGTTCGGGAGACATGGTCAAAGCCCGGTGAAGAAATGATACCTCTAATCCTCTTTGCTCCAATACTTATAATCTTATCATCTCTTCTGATTTGTGCATTTGTGGTCTTCGTTTCAATGTGGCGAAACCATCACAAATGATTTTCTCTCATTCTATCCTCAAGAAACCATAAAAGGAAAAATTGAAAAAGTTGCCGCAATAAGGATGAACATATTTCTATGTATAAGATCTCATAACCTGGAAAACTGTACATTTGTATCGACAAAGATTCAAAGCAGTTACCAGAGATTAATAGTCATCAAAGATGAAAACATAAGATCTCCATATCATGCTAAGCTAGGACAGTGAGCCAAAGTACCGACCTTGTTCGCCCACATTAGTCCACAAGCATTACAAAGAGATCTGGGACCAGCCGGTCCCCGTCGCATTGCTGGTGTTAACTTCTCGCTAATGCCACAGTTTTGACATCTAGACAGACAATTTGAAGAACCCAATTCAAAAAGTTGAAGCAAGAAACTAGACCTGAACATAAATTCTCAAATGTATGCATGGAGCAACATTATCTTCTGAATAATCATGTACAAATGCCATGAGAGTAAAAATGAGGACAGGACGGACTTGTTATCTTGACGAGTCTCATCCTGGTTCAGATTCTGATCAGGATCACCGCTTGTTGAGGCTAATGCCCCTTCCTGAGGATTTGCCTTCCCAACAAACTGCCCCTTCCGACGCTGCATCCTGCCACAGCAATTTTCACATAAGTGGAGCATGCATCGGAAACCACTTCTGACTTGAAGAAAGAGTAATAAGATATCAACAATGTACACACACATGCTGAGTGACAGCAGTGAGGAACACATTCTCATTCTCCTATGGTACCAAACCAAATTCGAAACTTTGGTTACCACATCAGTACTACAGAATACTTTTAAGTACCAGAATTGGCAATTTTTGTGGTTTTCAGAAGGTTCCCAATGGATAGTTGGTATTGACATCTTAAAATCATTAGGTCATTGAACTTCTAAAATAAAAAAATGATAACAAAGTCTTGACACAATTTTATAATTGATGAATTTAAACTAATTTTGATAAAATTTTATCAATGAAATAGGTGTGTCGGTTGTCACCATATTTTCAAACTATATTAGTTATAGTTATTGAACAATGAAAGTTCTGGATGAATAGAATATTTATTATACAACTATTTGGCCTCTGTTTTCATAAAAAAATTAGTTGTATCTTGCTAAAAAGTTAGTAATCTGTCCGTCTTCAGATCTTTTATATTACATACTAACAGCTTTCCTTTTTTTTTATTGTGTGTAAAACATTCATATAAGTTTATTCTAGGTTAGCACCATAATCTACTAGTTTGTTAATTTTCCATTAGCCTTGTGTTCTTTATTTACCTCAAGTTCTAGATATTATTCATAAACGAAGTTATAGTTGTCAGTTTTTTGCTTATACGTAATTGTAATTTTTAAATTGTTTAATGAATTTGCTCAAGATTTTCTACTTTAATCTTCTGCCATAATTTCTAACAGTTCCTATATGCTTTAAGTGCTTGGTAATCTACATGACTTTATCTTATATAATACTAAGTCTTTTTCCAAGAAGTAAATTTCGATTCATATCTTGTACTCGAAATGCCTATTTCTTGTTAATGCAACGGCTAAATTACCATATCGATATTTTTGTAACACCATCAACGACAGATTGGTATTTTATAAACTCTGGCGATGACAAGGTATTTTAACTGAACCTTTGTGCCAAATTGCCTCACTACTCTCGCCACCGGCCAAAAAAAGGGGAACATCACATGCAGCTCATGTGAGGTTTTTTTTAGATATAATCTGAGGCTGATGTGGTAGGGATTAGAGGTGTGGCTCCTCTTATGGCGGGTTTATAACTACCTTGAAACTTTCAAATTAACCAAATAGCTCCTTTGCCGATTTCCACCAAAATTTCCAAAATTTTGAATGGGAGGGAGAGGGAGAAATCATGGTGGCAGTTGCAGAGATTCTCTGAGAGATTGTGAGATGTGAAAGAAGAACATAAATTTTGACCCCATTTCTCTTTGCGGTATTATTCCGCCTCCTAATACAACTCAAACTATTGAAATTGTAATCCATTCTTACATTAACTCCAACTCTTCTTGAATTTGAACTAGAGCTTGACGAAGACGTGATAGAGCTTCCCCTAATTTCAATTGTATCCCCAATTTAAAGATGAGAATGAAAGGGGTGAATTTGGATTTCATTCCCAAATTTGAATACGAAGAGAGAGAAGCATATGACTCTAACATGCTTCAACTAACTCTGCCACGTCATTAACATATAGCCACATTAGCATTAAAACTTTTCAAAATGCATCACATGAGCTGCGTGTGATATTGTTGCCCTTTTTTTTCTTTTTTTTCTTTTTGGCCGGCGGTAAGAGTAATGGGGCAATTTAGCACAAAGGTCCAATTAAAATACCCTGTGGTCACCAAAGTTTATAAAAATACGAATCTCACTGAGGGTTTTCCAAAAGTATCATACTAGTAATTGGCCTTAATACAATTAAAATGATTTCTATATGAAAATGCAAAAGATCTGATTCAAAGTAAAGTTTGAATTCATATCGTTTACTCAAAATGCCTATTTCTTGTTCATCTAATTAAAATGATTTCCATATGAAAATGCAAAGGATCTAATTCGAAATATATCCTATGAGATCCATTTGCCAATCCATTATAAATTCATAGGTTACTCCAAGTACACTGTGAAATAAATGATCCACTTAAGAATCAAAACTCAATAAATTCAAGTTTTGAATTATCAAAATAATATCTCACTCCCAATATAAATTTCACTATGCAACAAATAGAACTTTTGTAGCATTTCTTGTGCACATGTATTCCTTTTTTTAAAATATACATCTGTGATGGGTGACACCATTGCAGAGCGTGAGATTGCTGCTTAGTTATAAGAGGGTATCGTAGACAAGGGACTACACTTTAGACTCTTCAATTCTTGAAGAAAAAATAACACTTCTTAAAATATTAATTCCAAATTCTATTTCTAAGAAGAAAATAAAAATATTTAAAGTACTTAGCTAGAAATGCACTCTTTGTGTGTGCTAAAAGGCATGAATAAATTGAAGTGAGCATAATAGCAAGTGGAACAGTAGTTTGAGAAGACGGTTTCAATCTTAAATCATTAGATGAAATATTGGATCCAGAACTACATGATTTATTGAATGAGAGTTCCACAATTGCCCATATATTGCATGAAAGCCCAGCATACTTATGGGCCTACCAAATAAAGATGAGAAGCACTTAAATATCTATACCTTAGGTTTGTCCAATTAGCAGATAAGTCCACTGAATTCTCACAGACAACATGCAGTAAAACCCCTACCTACCTGAGAGCCACCTCCTTCCGGACAGTATAACGAATCTTCTTATCAAAGTTTCTCTCTTTTCGCTTTTCACGGAACCGCATCAATGAAGCCATCCTTCTTGCGGGCATGTTTGTACGTCGAAGTATATCATCAAACCCCTGTTATAGTATGCACTCTAAAAATGACTACAAGAAAGTTGTATCTAAAATAAAATTATAAAACCTTGCAATGTGGTAGTACCCTGTCAAATCCCGCATTAGCTACACCAGGAGGTAACTCACATCCTCCCAACAACAGCAGAACAGCTTGGACCTGTAGAGAAACCATTCAAAAGAGACCATCTTCAACATGTACAAGTAAAAGCAAAGACAGGTTTAACTGACTAGATCTGTCTTGAACTATGTTGAAGCTCACATAAAAACATGAGTAAACATGAGGGAAAGTGATTTGTATGACAGTTGACACTATGTCCACTAAGAATGCACAACAGAAAATAATGCAAGCAATGGTTGATGGGGTGCACAACAGAAAATATGACACAAGCAATTCGGCATATGAAGCCTAAAGTTCATGGGCAACTGCTGACCCTACAGACTTGAAGTTTGATCCATACTGTGCCCAGCAAGTGTTAGCTTCTCAAGATGTGTTAGAATTACTAGCAGAAAAGGGGAAATGCATAGAATAAAATTAGCTTAAAGAGTTATCTTGGTGGCCCTATCGACCTTTTCTTTTGTGGAACAAGAAAATATATTGGCGTCAACCCTGCATTTTATGGTGCTAGTTAGTTTGTAACCTGGCGTATAGATATACGAAATGGAACAGATGAATGCGGAGAAAATTGCACAATTATAGAAGGTGAAGCTTTCTAATGCTTTTATAGTTCATTGTCTTCATGAAGGATAACTGCTCTGGATATTGGATGTCCTATTCGTGGATCAAGCATGTAGTAGTGGAAGAGAGGAGGATTCTGACGTTTCAATTCAACTGACACAAAAAATTGGTTGCATTTTAGCTGCACACCGGTCACAGTGATGTAAACCTAATATAAAGAACATTATTATATATATCAATTCCCTAAACATCATATGAATTATGTTTTGATTCTAACATNGGTCCTACGCTGCACCCACATGGCTTTCTATGCCGAGTACACCAACAGTTCTCCATGATTCCAATGTTAGGATTTACTTGTGTTAGGAATTATACCTCCCTGATGAGGGGATTCAGATTGCTCATCTCAAGCATTGCTTGACATGAGGACTCAAGTAGTACGATACTTGATATTCTGACATATACTAGGTAACACAGTACAAAAAAGTTGGGCCAACACGCATATATGTCACATCAATCAACCAAACGTAATAAATAAAATAAACAAAGCGCATTCTCACAGGTAGCCTTTAAAGAAATGCAGACAAAATTTTTGGCAAATATAAGCATTAATCCAAATGGAGATAGTCTCATGATGCATGTGCTTTCCCTTTAACACAACTGCAGATCAATGCCCTACCGATACACACATTGACACTACAAGCTACTTGGTTTTTAAGTCAATTTAAGAAATGAAAACTAATTGCTACTGTATTTAGTATAAGGTGAACAGCAAAATAAACAAGATTGATATACCCATCAACCGACACAATAGAGAGATTGATGCAGCGGTTGGAAGGTGATCACGAGCTCTAAGATAACGGTTCTCGTGTTGTTCCTAGCACATTTAGAAGGCAGGATGAGGACTCTGAGTTGGATTTGGAGACATAGTTCCAGCAGGTAGCCGGATCAGTGTGCAGATATGTTTTGTTCAGTTCCTTACTAAAGTTTATATTTTGCTCTTTTAGTTTTTATTTCGGGTTTTTCCTTCTATGACCACATTTAGCCTTAGCATTCTTTGTGCGTGGCCTTCTTATGTACTTCTTATGTACTATTAAACTCTTATTAATCGATCATGGTGGCTGTTTCCGACCGTTTCACTCAAATAGGAAAATTTATATATCCATACATATCCATATACACATCAATCAATCTTAATTTGTCACTTCCACCTCAAACAGATGATTCACAAAAAATTGTGTGCTTGTCATTTTCACATTATCTTTACTGCCGTATATCAATTGGACTCAGATCTTAAGTACTTTAAAAAAATCATCTTCCAGTAATTTCATATAATATCTTATACTCTCAAGGCTCAATTTTGTTAAGAATTAATCACAAGGTCACATTGACTCAATTCATACTGACTTCACTAACCTTATTGGAACGAAAACTCATCAATCAAACAGTAAAATATCAGCAGTACTAAACCAAAATTTAAAGTCAGGACCTTTTCAGGCGTAACCGACTCGAACACGTAGACCTCGCCCTGAAACAAGAGCGTCAACTGGTTCGAATTCGATCCCATCAGCTGCATCGCCCCGTTTCGCCCGCTCCGCAATCTGCTGGTTATCGTTCTCCCGCGGGCACCGGCCACGATCGCGCCGTCCGCCCTCTCATCGCCGCAGTCGACGGTGGCGGCGGATGCATCGTTGATCGCCCGTATAACTGTCCCTCCTGCGGGTTCGGATCCGCCATCTCCGCCCAGTCGAAAACCCTAAGCCTAATCGATGATGACGTTGATGATGATGGTGATGCGAGATCACAGCGCCTTGATTTTGATTTCCTGATGACTACGAAACACGCGGAATGAGCCGTGGTCTGATTGGCGGCCACTGCTGGGTGCGCGTCTGCATCCTCGAGCGGATTGCGGGTCACCGTGCCCGTCTGCCTCTTGGGACCGTCTAATGCACGTGGATGATTTTAGAGGTGCTTATCGTGTACTGCTTGGAGCCTCAGCCGTCGGATGAGCATCAGCGGGTTCTTCATGTGCGATTTTTGTGTGCGCGAGGCGATTCATTTCGGGTTAAATAGCACTTAATCACTCACTTTCCACTTATTCATATCATATTATATTATACTATACTACTACATATAAAAAATGATTAGGAATGCTAAACCTTTTTATTGTCCTTTTTATCAGTCTCAATTTTGATAATTCTAATTTGACATCAATAATTTTTTATTAAATTTATCTCAAAATCTCATTCAATGAGTCTTAAATTAAATTAATTAAACCACCATCATAATAATAAGATCTAATTAGTTTTTTAAGGCTCTTAAAGATTCCATATTTTATTTAACTAAATGCATATATTATGGATCCAATTAACTAACCACTCTTTTATTTTTCCCTTTACGTAACCTCTTTTTCATCAACCTCTTTTTCATCTCTGCACTATAAAATACGGTTATCCATTCTTTTCAACCCATCACATTACCTATTAAGTTAAATTCCTACATCAATACACTGGTTTATGAAATATATTATATAAAAAGTTTATCAAATGTTTATAGTGTACATGGCAAGTATAAGTATGCGCACATGCATACATTGAATAATATTTGTCAAATGGTTTGTAGACTTAAAGTTTTTTTTTTCATGGAGTGGAAGACTTTGTCTCGTGTTCAATTTGTAGATCTTGATTTGCGTTTTGACTCTTGAATCCTTGAAAAAGGGAAGGATAACATATTATAGGAAGGTTATTATTTGAAAGTCTTGATATTTAAGAGCATATATAAATCTTATTTGGGAGCCAAAGATTATTTTCAGTGTGTGTCTTTTTTTTATTGCGGATTGTATAAGATTATTATTGATCTTTTAGTATTTAGAAAGAATGTATGATTTTATTTTTGGAGTTTTTGCGAAGTTATTTAAAGAGTTTCCCCCTCGCACAATATTGCAAAGAGTTTTTTGTGCAATTTATCATAAGTTGTACTTTTTCTTTTAAATGTAGGTCATCAATTGTGCTTTCTTGTTCATTAGATGTATTCATGGTTAAATTCTTAATTAGTTACTCAATTTCATATGCACTTTAAATTTAGAGGTGCTATTAACTTTTCCAATGCTTTCAATGATTTCTGCCCTTTTGACTTATCTCTATTAAGCATCTTTTATGTTCTTTCATTAATAATCATATTGAATCGTAAAACTTTGTTGTCTTCTTTTTGACTAATCATCAATATGCTCTTTGTTTCCTATCAATTTTAGGATACAAAGATTAACTAATAAAATATATTATCTATCTATCTTCTATATATTCATTGAGTAAATCAGAATACACAACCCTATATATATGATATATTTGATTGAATTGTATTAAAATTTGGAAAAATTATGTCAATGCCCCAAATAACAAAACTTGATGTGCCTAGCCCTTGGTATTTAATTCTAATGTGAATTGGCCCTAAAAATTGTAGTTTACCCTGATTTCTCATTTTACCCTCTCTACGCTCTAAAAACCTCATCATCTATTCCTCCCTCCTCTTCTTTGTTCTCTCCTAACCCACTTCGTGGCCACTCCTCCCTCCTCTCCTCCTCTCCTCCTCTCTCCCCTACCCCACTTCATGGATGCTCCTCCTTCCTCTCTTCCTCACCTCCTACACTCTCCATCATCAAAAAAGCACATACTCATATCTTAATCGAAGATCCAACGCCTCAAACCTACATCCTCCTCCCCTAGCTCCATCGCTCATGCCAACGTTGCTTTTTATCCTTCTTGCCAGCGATAAGGGATGTGAAGCCCGTTGAGGGAGAATGAGTTCGTTAGAGAAGAGAGAGGAGGATGATGAATAAAGGCTTTGAGGAGAAGCTATTGGATCGGTTTAGATTTAGGTTTGAGTTTGGGTTTGAAGCATGGAGAAGGGGGGAGGGGGGAGCTTTGAATTTATATATAGATTTAATTGAGGATTTAGGCATGGATTTGATTAAAGTGTTTGGAAAGAAGCTTGTGAAGAAGCAAAATTTAGCATTCATGCTAGTTCATGTCAAGGATTTGCAAGTTAGTACAAAGTTCATGGGTTTAGTAAACATATTTGTAATTCGAGGGGAGAGAATTTACATTTCTAACTTTTTTTTGATATTGTTTATTCTTTGGTCCCTTCCTTCATCATGGGAGCATGAGTCTTTTTGATATTTTTCTTTTTTGCTTGAGTTTTAAGAATAAAATGATGATTCTTCTGTACTTGTTTGAAATTTGTGTTTTACTAAGAGTTGGCGGCCATGACAGAAGCTTGAGGGTAAAGGTGTATAGTACAGAGAGAGTGATTGTAGATCGAGAGAGTGTAATAATAACAAGTCGCGTGCAAATAAAATGTAATAGACATATCGTCGTATGGATGTGTGTATGTAAATATCAAAACTACATCATGTTAATTTTGAACATTAGTTAAGTTTAAGCATTACCTGTTATGTATACTCATTGGTAGTTAACTATATTTGGTACATGTCAACTTTATCCAAAACATAATAATTATATCTGCTACCTTTTAAGTTTAGCCAACACCTGTTAATTATATTCATTACCTCTTAGCTTTAGCTAGTGTCTATTAATTATATTCAGGACATATTTAGCTAATACATGTCAATTACATATAGTACTTGTTAACTTTAGCCAGTACATGTTAACTGATATTGGATGTAGTTAACATGTATTGACTAAAGTTAACAGATACTAGATATAGTTAACAGGTTATGACTAAAGTTAACATATACCTGATATAGTTAACAGATACTGATTAAAGTTAACAGGTACATAATATAGTTAACATGTAATATCCAATACCTGTTAACCATATCAAGTACCTATTAACTATATCCAATACCTCATAACTATAGCCATTACCTGTTAACCATATCCAGTACAAAGATGATTCTACAAAGCAGATTTTACTCATCTTTAAGCAAAAGAATACAATATAACTCGCATTTAGAATTAGAACTTTGTACACTCCTTTGCATTTAAATGACAAGATATCTTTCATAGGATTAGCACAGGCCATAAAATCCTAAATCAACACAGTTGTGCATTACAAAAATTGAACTTTGCTTCCAATTAAAGCTTTAAACTTGTAGAGACCTCACAAATCTCTCTTCGGTATTTCATCAAATAATTTACAAGCAATCTTCAAACTGTCACATATCATATACCCACTTAACATACTACTCCAAAAAACCAAGTTGAGCATTAAAGCGAGCTCGAAGAGGAGATACCACTCCAAATGAGATGTTCATGTAAAGTATTACAAGTACATGTTAAATATACCATGTACATGTTAATTATAAATGGTTATTGTTAATTATCACATGTATGTTAGACCCTAGGGGGGGTGATTAGGGTCTTATGCTAATCTAATCCCAATTAAAAGCTAATTAAAATTATGTTGATCAATTTGATCTTGCAAGAAGAAATATGATATGGATATGAACAATAATGATGAATAAAATATACAAGCAAAACACAAACACACGATATGTTTACGAGGTTCGGTCACCACGACCTACGTCCCCGCTCCTCACCTCGAGGAGATATCCACTATCACAATCCGGTTTGGAAGCCGGAACTTCTACACACTCGGTTTACAAGATCACCGAAAACTCTCACATACACAAATACTATGCAATCACACTTTACACACTAAGTGTAGGAACCTACCCCGTGTCCTCGACGCCACTCCTATTGGATTCGCCCCCGTGTCTCGCCTCACACTTCTCTCGGTGTACAAGTGTATTATAAGTGATTCTCATAAATAAAAGTTAAATACAATGATTTGTTCTCAAATAACAAGTGAAAACACAATGAAGCTCACACTCACTAAATCACACCCCATAACCCACACTATATGGTATGAAAATATCAAGCTCAATAAGTGTGTGTGATAACAGTGAATGAAACTAGATAAATATAGCTAAATGAAATGAAAAATAAAATAATCAGCTATATAAGAGTTTAGAAGACTTCTCAAACAAGAAGAACAGTAGATGATGATCCCAATGGGATTTGAATGCCACTTCTTGTTGTAGAAAAACTTCTCTTGAAAACGGATTGATGAAATCAACTTTAAATAGCTCTTAAACACAATTAATATTTTGTTAAACACCAAACTTGGATTTCTTTGATCTATAGAAGAAGAGCAGCAATGGGGTATATATAGCATCCCAATACAACAGCAAAAACATGAGTAAAAGACCAAAAAACCAGTTTGAAAACAGCTGTACAAAACTAGCCATTGTTGAGTTCTGACAGTTCGGCGGTCGACCAGTCCGGTCGACCGCTAAGCTCAGATGGAATTTTCGGTCGACCGAAAAAGTCTCTGGAGGTCTCTCGGTTGACCGGTGCGGTCGACCGTGAGCAGCTCAGGAAAATACAACTGTCGGTCGACCGCACCGGTCGACCGAAAACTGACATATGGCATATTGACAGGTTTTGGGGCTGTTTTAAAAAATCATTAAAAATACAAATCAAATCCAAAAATAGTGAAACTTTGGGAAAAGTTTCTAAATGATGAAATAAACATGTTTTAAAAGGAATTTTTGGAAAATCAAGTTTTGTTTGTGAAAACTCCTTATTTTTGAAAAGTGTTCAGAAAACATGTTTTTCGTGAACATGAAAATTAACATGAAGCTTGTAAATATGTATATATATATTGATCATGTATTATATGTATATAATGAAGTATGAAAGAGCTGTAAACATGAGATAAAAGATATCTTAACAATGTTTGATGAAAAATCATTTATATGATGGAAAACGTCAAAA